CCGATGCTTTGAGTAGGAAGTTAGTGAGTATGGGCAACCTTGCATTCATTCCAGTCGGTGAGAGACCGCTTGCATTAGATGTTCAGGCTTTGGCCAATCAGTTCGTGAGGTTGGATGTTTCTTAGCCCAGTCGTGTTCTAGCTTGTTTAGTGACTCGATTTTCCTTGTTTGAGTGTATCAGAGAGCGCCGATATAATGACCCTCATTTGCTTGTCCTTAGGGACACAGTGCGGCACAATGATGCTGAGCAGGTTACGGTTGGGGATGATGGAGTTTTGAGGATGCAGGGTCGTGTTTGTGTGCCTAATGTGGATGGACTTCGTGAGTTGATTCTAGAGGAGGCCCACAGTTCCCAGTATTCTATTCATCCGGGCGCCGCCAAGATGTATCAGGACCTGCGGCATCATTATTGGTGGAGGAGGATGAAGAAGGATATAGTTGCATATGTAGCTCGGTATCTAAATTGTCAGCAAGTAAAGTACGAGCATTAGAGACCTGGTGGTTTGCTTTAGAAGATAGAGATTCCTGAGTGGAAGTGGGAGCGTATCACCATGGATTTCGCTGTTGGACTCCCATAGACTCAGAGAAAGTTTGATGTCGTTTGGGTTATTGTGGATAGACTGACTAAGTCAGCGCATTTCATTCCTGTGGCAGTTACCTATTCTTCAGAGCGGTTGGTAGAGATTTAAATCTGTGAGATCGTTCATCTTCACGTTGTGCCCGTGTCTATCATTTTTGATCGAGGTACGCAGTTCACCTCGCATTTCTGGAGGGGAGTACAGCGTGAGTTGGGCACACGGGTTGAGTTGAGCACAACATTTCATCCTCAGACGGACGGACAGTCCGAACGCACCATTCAGATATCGGAGGATATGCTACGCGCTTGTTTTATTGACTTTGGAGGCTTATGGGATCAGTTCTTGCCACTTGCGCAGTTTGCCTACAAAAACAGTTATCAGTCGAGCATCCAGATGGCTCCCTATGAGGCTTTATATGGTAAACGGTGTCGATTGTCGGTCGGATGGTTTGAGCCGGCGGAGGGTCGGTTATTGGGTACAGATTTAGTACAGGATGCCTTGGATAAGGTTAAGATCATTTAGGATAGACTTTGCTTAGCTTAGTCCAGGTAGAAAAGTTATGCCGACCGTAAGGTTCGTGATGTTGCATTCATGGTCGGAGAGAGAGTGTTGCTCCGTGTGTCACCCATGAAGGTGTAATGAGGTTTTGAAAGAAGGGCAAGTTGAGCCCTAGGTACATTAGGCCTTTTGAGATTCTTCAAAGAGTGGGTCCATGCTCCGGAAGTACCACGGTGATCCGTTTCATGTGCTAGATTTCAGCTCTCTCTAATTGGACAAGGATTTGACTTATAAGGAGGAGCCGGTAGCTATTCTAGACCGGCAGGTTCATCAGTTGAGGTCGAAGAGTTTTTCTTCAGTTCGAGGGCAGTGGAGAGGTCAGCCTGTTGAGGCAGCTACCTGGGAGTCCGAGTCCGATATGCGGAGTAGATATCCCCACCTTTTCACCAGTTCAGGTACTTTTCTATGTCCGTTCGAGGACGAACGATTGTTTTAGAGGTGGAGAATGTGATGACTCAAAAAGGGTCATCTTATGTTTTAGAACTCGATTTAGTGCTCTTAAGCCTTAAAAATCTCATTTTTACCCTCCTCGATTTGCGAGCGCAATCCGGGCGTGTTTCCGGAAAGCTTTTATGTTGAAAGTTGATGAAAATAATAAATTTTGCCTTAAAAGTTAATTTTAGTTGACTTCGGTCAACGTTTTGAGTAAACGGGCCCGGAACCGTAATTTGACGGTCCCGGTGGGTCCGTAATGAAATATGGGACCTGGGCGTATGCCCGGAATCGAATTCCGAGGTCCCTAGCTCGAGATATAAATTTTTGTTGAAAATTGAAAGACTAAAAATCTAATGGTTTTAAGAATTTGGTTAATGTTTGATCTTGTTGGTATCAGGTCCGTATTTTGGTTCAGGAGCCTGATACAGGTTTATCATGATATTTAATACTTGTATGTGAAATTTGGTGAGAAACGGAGTTGGTTTGACGTGATTCAGAAGCCCGGTTGTGAAAATAGAGGTTTTAAAGCTTTCTTGAGAATTTCATTCGATTTGGTGTTCAATTCGTAGTTCTAAGTGTTATTATGACGATTTGATCGCGTGAGCAAGTTCGTATGATGTTTTAGGACTTGTGTTGGTTTGGAGCCCCGAGGGCTCGGGGTGAGTTTCGGATAGGTTACGGGATGATTTGGACTTAGAAAAAAATCTGGTTTCTGTAGCTTCAATGCTTTCTAATTTCTTCTTCGCGTTCGCGAAGCTACTCTCGCGAACGCGAAGTATAAGCTGGGCTGGGGGTGGTTTTGTTCAACGCGAACGCGAGGCCACGGTCGCGAACGCGGAGCACTGGGGGGTCTGCTCTTCGCGAACGCAACCGGCAACACGTGAATGCGTAGAGTAAATGTAGGTGGGCTGGGAATCTGTAGGTTGTTCTACGCGAAACGCGAGCCAAGGCTCGCGAACGCGATGGCCAGGGGGGACAAACCATCACGAATGCGAACAACCTTTTGCGAACGCGTAATCCTTCTGGGCCGCTACCCTTCGCGAATGCGGCAGGCCCTTTGCGAACGCGAAGAAGGCCCGCCAGTGTTTTAAAAACAGAACTAAAACGGGATTTTTGCCATTCTTTCTAAAATTTCAAAACTAGAAGACCTAGGGGCGATTTTCAAAAGATAATTTCTTCCACAATTTAAGTGATTCTAACCTAGTTTCTTTCAATTACCCATTATATTTCATGAATTTTCAACCTAAAATCTAGGGGTTTTATGGTGAAAATTGGGGGATTGGGTAGAATTAGGGATTTTTATAATTGGAATTTAGACCTCGAATTGAGGTCGGATTTCGAAACAAACTACATAATCGGGTCCGAGGGTGAATGGGTAAATGGATTTTGGTCAAAACCTCGGGTTTTGACCAAGTGGGCCCGAGGTCGATTTTTGACTTTTTGGGGGAAAGTTTAGGAAATCTAAATTTATGCATTGTAGTTGATTCCTTTAGCAATATTTGATGTTATTGAGTTAATTGTGGCTAGATACAAGTGGTTTGGAGGCAAATTATAGGGAAAAGGCCCCGGTAGAGCTTTGAATTGACCGCGGAGTGAGGTAAGTGTTGTGTCTAACCTTGACTTGAGGGAATTAGGAACCCTCGGACTTGTGTTATGTGAATTTCATGTGAGCGGCGTATATGCAAGGTGACGAGTGCTTATATGCCGCCGAATTATCTGTTCTCCCTGATTTATCGCTTTTCCTTAATTGTTTTCCTTACTATCTTAATTGTTACATACTCTAAATGCTTTCTATGCTTAACTGTTATGTGTTAATCAATATCTTCTTCTGTGAACCATGTTAGCTCTTTTCATAGTTCCCCTAATCCCTGCTATTTGCTTAATTTGACTTGTTTGCACCTCCTAACTGTAAATTGCTGGTTTGGTTTCGCTGTGTAGTATTATTTGAGTAGATTCTATATTGAACAAGGTTTCCTTTTTCTTGGTTTAGTTTGGTATTTATTTATCGTAAAGGCCTTGTGATCTAGATTGTTGATTTGACTGTGTACATTGAGTGTATGGTACTGATATGGTGGGATCGGGCTGCACGCCGCAACAGGTGGAATAAGGGTGAATATGTTTATACCATGGGATCGGGTTGCACGCCGCAACATGTGGAATAAGGGTGGATTGATATGGTGAAATAAGGGTGAATTATGATACTGACATTGATATATGGTGGGATCGGGTTGCGCGCCGCAACATATTTATATTATTATTGATGTTGATATTGATACGGTGAAATAAGGGAGGATCTTGTGTTGTCTGGTGGGATCGGGTTGCGCACTGCAACAATATATATATATATATATGTATCTCTTTACTCGAGCTGTGTTGGCTTCCGGTATCTGTTTGAACTGTTAAAGATTGGTGTTCCTATACGGTGCTGGTTCATTTTTGAGGCTGTGGTTATCATTTTCAATTACCTGTTTAATTCTTTTCAGTATTTCTATTATGCTGTCATTATTTTATATACTGCGTACAGGTTTTAGTGTACGTGACCCGCCTTAGCCTCGTCACTACTTCGTCAAGGTTAGGCTCGGCACGTACCAGTACATGGGGTCGGTTGTACTGATACTACACTCTGCACACTGTGCAGATTTCGGAGTCGGTCCTAGCGGCAGCTACTAGAGAGCTCGGATTGGACATCCACGAAGACTTGAGGTACAGCTGCCCAGCGCCTGCAGCTCCTGAAGTCCCCTTCCTGTTATTATCTAGCTGTGTATTTTTATTTAGACAACTTTCTGTTTATTTCAAACCTTTATATGTACTATTCTAACAGTTCGTGCACTTGTGACACCAGGTTCAGCGAATTGTAGTAAATGTTTTGGCTGGTTTAGTTTCGCATATTCGCTTAAATTATTTTAGTTATTTCAGTTCTTCTCTATAGTTATTACTCTAACTGTTAAAAGGAATAAATTGTTCTAACGTTGGCTTGCCTAGCAAATGAAATGTTAGGCGCCATCACGACCACAAAGGTGGGAAATTACGGGTGGTGACAAAAATACCTCTGAGAAAAATATATTTAAAAACATATTTAAAGTAGAGTAGTATTTTTTAAATTAATTAGCCAAAACTCAACCAAAAAATAGTTTGGAGAAAAGAACTTTTGAAAAACTATTTTGGAGCTTGGCCAAACATGCTAGGAAGTGTGAGAGAAATGTGGACAAATCACCGGCAAATTTGTTCTCCGGCGGCGTATAGAAAAACATCTCGAACCTCGCTCAGCTCAATCTCTCGTTCAATCACATCTCCGGCGAAATTCCGGCGAGTCTCCGGTGGGCTTCATCAACTTCACTATCTTCAGCTTGAACGGTCGAGAAAATGTGAAAGAAGTTAGGTTCTATGCACTGACTATTTATACAATCAGGTAATTGAAGATATTTAATAGCATTGATTAGAATAAATGATAAGTGATCTGCTATAATATGTTAAGCTGAAAATATTAGTGTATATAACTTAAATCTTTATATTATGTTTTGAGTTGATATTAGGGTCAGTTCAGACAAGATAAAGGAGCTAAAGAACGCTCTTAAAGTTTAGTCTCCTTTCTTCGTCATTTGATTACTCATTTTGTTTAAATTTTATGTGGCGCACTTTTTAATCTATTTAAAAATAATGACATTTTATATGTTTAGAAACAGTTTAATTTAAAATTCTTATTTTACGAGATGATATCTAGCCACATAAATGTCTATGGTTTGCTTTAGACCACGAATTTCAAAATTCTTTATTTTTTTTTTTTAAATTTTAAAGGTTTGTCTGATGGATTGAAATGAATATTGTCATTGATAGATGTGAATAATGTGGTTTCAGTGTAGTTTGATAGAGCAGGTGTTTTTTAAAACCGTGTGACAAGTCAACCAAAGACTTAGATCAATTATAAAGAAGACAGTGCCTTGAACTGCAACTGAACACAATTTTCCTACATTTGCAAGCTACTTTCACATTCATCTACAATGGCTTCTACTTCTTCATCCACTCAAAATTGGAAGAATGATGTTTTCTTGAGTTTTAGAGGTGAAGATACTCGTAAAACTTTTGTACATTGTGCCGGTTTGCCCCCTTTAGCTCTGAAACTTTTAGGTTCATTTCTCTATGGATTAGACAAGAGCTAGTGGAGAACCACTTGGGAAAGCCTGAAGGATATGCCAAAATCATGAAATTCTTGCTAAGCTTAAGATAAGTTTGGAAGGACTGGGGTATACTGATCAGAGACTCTTCTAGATATTGCATGCTTTTATAGATGAAAATTGAGGACTTATGTTGAGGAAATACTTGAGAGCTGTGATATCGGATCTACTATAAGAATAAAAGTCTTAATTGAAAAATCTCTCTTATTTATCTCGCAATATGACACAATTGAAATGCATCATTTGATACAAGAAATGGCCTAAGGTGGCTTGAGTGGGAAGGTTGCCCTCTAAATTCATTGCCACAGAGTTTTGAACCATCAAAGCTTCTTCGCCTTGATATACATGAACGTACTACACTTCAGAAACTCTGGTTAATTTCGAAGGTATGATTGTTACCATCCTTTCCCTTTGGCATTCTTATTCCATGCTCTTTTTACCCTAAATTAATCCACCTATGATAGGAGAACAACTTTTCATTTAAAATAGGACAACATATTTTAAATTGTATTAATCATTCATAAATGTTTCGTTATGTGCTTTAGAGGTGTCTGTCATCTTAAATTTGGCTGAATGTTATGACATAATTATAATTTCTTTCCATTCTAAACAGGGTTTGGGCAAACTAAAAAACTTTGTATCTCAGCTACTGTGAGCACTTGGAAGAAGTTCCAAGCTTTGAGATGATGCCAAATTTAGAGAGAGTAAAGCTAGAGGGATGTAAGAGTTTGAGAGAAGTCAGTCCATCATTCGGAATTCTCATTAAGCCCACTTCACTTGAGCTAGATTGTCAGAGCCTTGACAAGCTTTCAAGTTATATTCAGATGGGATCCCTTAAGAGTCTCAAACTTTCTTGTCTTCCAAAGTTGAGGGAATTACCAGAAACCAAGGGGTTGCTCCGTTTATTGACATTAGAGCTAACCGATTGTCAGAGCCTTGAGATGCTTCCACGTTTTAATCAGATGGAATACCTTGTGACTCTCAAACTTTCTTGTCTCCCAAAAATAATGGCATTGCCGGCAACCGCTGCGATGCACCATTTATTGGAACTTGTTATAGAATATACTCCGATAGTAGAATTTCCGGTGTCAATTGGAAATCATGGTTCCCTCAAACAACTAATATTAAGTCATTGTAAAGATCTGGTAAGCATTCCTAACAGCTTTTCTTGTCTGAAGAATCTAAGAGTTCTTGTGATCTACAACTGCAAAAGACTTGCAGATTTGCCAGAAAAGATGGGTGACCTGAAACTGTTAGACAAACTAGTGGTATCTGGTACTGCAATTCCCGAATGCCCCCTTCAGTTGCAGACCTTGGTGAACTGAACTTTTTATCATTTCCTCGCTGGTCTGGATACAGACAAGCTGACAAGGTGCAACTTTTCTGTTACCCCCTTCATCAGGTTCATCGTCGTTTAGGGTGTTAAAGCTTAATAAATACAGGCTATGTAGTGGAGAACATTTTCTGGATCGTGGAGGCTTATCTTCTTTGGCTCACTTGGATTTGACTAGAAATGATTTAACGAGTTTCAATGAAAGCAACAATCAGCTCTTTCATTACCTAGATATTACATTTTGTGAGAAGCTTCTATTGCCCAAACTTCCAGCATGCATAAAGGAGTTATATGCATATGATCCTTTAGTCTTGAAGAGCATCCCTGATTTTAGTGTCATTCAAACAGCATATTGAGAATAGAGGTGAACTGACTGATATCTTGCACTTTGTCCTCCGGTTAATTAGTGTGGCATCTCAGGTCTCTCTCTCTCTCGTCATTTTTCGGCATATCCGATTAAGTTTAAGGAAACAGAGATTGGAGCTGATACAATTTTCTTTCGTGTAGTGTGAGAAAAGGCTACCATTTAGCATTTTTTCCCCTGGAGATATAAGATGGAGCGGGTTCAATTATTATCGGAAAGAACAAACAAAAAGATTCTCCACTCCACTTGATCCATGTTGGTATGCAAGTAAATTCAAAGGATTTGTTATATGCTTTCGTGTACTATTGGATACTGTTCAGAACCAGAAACCTTTGGATGCTAAATCACGAAGAGGAAGTTGCTGGTTCAGTTGCACTAAGGTTACAACTAAGTTACTGCAAAGATATGACATGCAAGAACAAGATGTACTACAGAAAAAAGTGTTTGCTTGTTGCTCGCTAGATATTTTGCTCTCATGGTAGTAAATACGCCGTCTGCTTTAGCTACATGCCTTTTGTAGCACTATGGCATACTTCTGATAGTGAAAAGGGGAAGAGGCCAAATGACTATTGCTTCTTTGAGGCGTCTATAGACCCAGGCTTGCAACAAAATGGGGACTTCTTCTGGTGTACGAGAATAAAATTCAACAGATAGATCAATCAACCATTACGGTCCAACGTGATGTGGAATCTCCGAGTTCTGACCTGTTGAGAGAATCTAATGATGACCAAGGCCAGAAGTTGGAGGATGCTTCTGTTAAGAGAAGACGGCTTGATTTTCGTCAAAGAGATAATATGGTGTCATTTGAAGCTGGCTGCTCTATGAAATTTCAAGTGATGAAGGATTCATGCTCTCCCAGTCAGTTTCAAACTTACCAAATAATTCCTGATCGACAATTGGAAGCATCATGCTCTTCTGCAGCTCAAAGCCTCCAACACAGGGAAGAGTCATGCTCTTCTGGACAGCCCCAAACTTTACAGATCTCTTTAGCTGATCGACAAGTTGATGAAGAATGAGGCTACCTCCTACATGGTATTTGAACAACTGGAAGAACAAAGCTCTTCTGTACGTCCTGAAATTTTTGAAGTCTCTGCAGATGAGCGCAAAGATATTTCAGTGACAAATGGATCAAGCGGCTCTGAGGTATTCCAAGAATTGGCGGCACCATGCTCTTCTGGACAACCTCAAATTCTCCAGCTCTTTCCCGAGCGTTCATGATCTAGAATCACTAGCAGCCTCTTAATTTGCTGGCGAAAAGGCAAAAAATGGCAGGATGTCAAGGTTGGCGTGAAGCTTTTGGTGAGATCTTATGCTTTTCTGCATGCCTGTTGGGCGTGTACATGTCCTTTTCTTTTTGTTTTATCCTGATGCTACTTTTAGGTACTTCTGTTTGGTTTCAGTTATTCATGTTTTTGTGATTCAGGGAGCATTTATTTGCTCTGAAGCTGTTATATGCAAATCTTCTGGCTGGTTCTCTCTGTTTGGGTTATTTTAGCTTGCATCTTAGCGTGGTTTTTCTTTCTGCTACTGCTCGTTCAATACATATTAAAATAGAATTTATCTCTTTATTAATGTAGACTTTGGAACATTACATGTCAGTGATGGCATCTTGTGATTGTGTAAGAGTTTCCACACGCCATGGGTCACCCTACCTACTACATTAAGGTTTTGAGTTGAATGTTCAGATTCTTTCACATAGTATCAGAGTAGGCCGCAGTCGTAAGTTCAAGTTCACTACCACCCTTATCAAATAGAATTTCCACATGCTTGGCTCAAGGAAAAGATGCATGCTTACATGTGATGAGAGTAATAAAATTCAACATGGTATAACAACTGGACTCATTACGTATGTTAGGCCTCCAATTTTATGTTATGCACGTAGACGTTTGCTAAGCAAGGCGAAATGCCCAACCTATTTTGCGCATAGCTTCAAGCTTAAGGTTTTCTCAAATGAGCCTTTGATAACTGTAGGTGCTAAGAAGCTCGATTCTGTTTTTCTTTTTTCTTTTTAAATTTAGATGTTCACTTCTGATGAACTATAAATTATTATTTTCATTTGTCATAAGTTTAAACATAATTGAACCTATTTTTATATTGGACAAAAAATAACTCATCCACTGAGAAGTATAGCTAGTTTGGATATTTGGAATAAAGTTGGACAAGATCTTCTTGCTCATTGTAAGTGTCACCTTTTTTTTCACTAACTTTTAATCCGGAGTGGATTGAACTCCCTTTATTGAACGCTCATTGGTTATATAGGTAAACTGTATATTAAAAATTTTAAAAATATAGATGTACACACACATCTTCGGCTGAATCATCTTGTCATAAGGAATGTCTCTAGGGTTATAGTCAAAGGAGGTCCAACATTTGTATGAGGTCCCCTGTTGAACTCCATTAGCATCACTTTGTTGTCCTTTTGAAGAACGTCCTTGGTTAAATTCTTGGTCTGCCCGTTCTTATTCCAAATTTCTCTTTTCACCATCATGGTAAATTGTCAAAATGTTTTCCATATATTATGTTGATATCAACCAAATTGAAGGTTTTCTGATCTTGTAAGCTTGTTTCTAAGGTTTGTCTTGGAGCAGTGTGTCACATCGAATTCTGACTGACAATGGTCACCAGAAAGGCAATGTCAGGTTGAGTCCAGAAACTACAGTCCCATTACCTACTTTAAACCTTATATTTGAAATTTCTTCTCATAATTTCACTATCATCAGTAGAGTAACTATGTATACCTTAGTGATCAGATTGGTCCTCCACCCTCTATACAAAAACCACATTTGTGAAATATTACCTTGCTATTTTCCCAATAGGGCTATGTTAGCTCCATTTAGATTTAGCCCTTTGTCGCTCCGATTTTTCCCTCAAGAGAAAAAAGAAAAAGGCTCTGTTAAACACCATAGCCGTAACTCCTTTGCCCTCCACCTTCATAGGAGCTGTTTAGAGAATCTAATGATGAGCAAGTTCTGAAATGAATGATGCTATTTCTTAAGAGAAGATGACTTGATTAATATTGAAAGAATGATATAGTTCCTTGTCCTTTTCAGTTTCAATGGTACTCTTGGATACTGTTGTTTGTTTCCAGTTAATGATGTTTCCTGGAATATAGAGAGCATTTATCTGCTCATAAACTGTTACAACCAGGATCTTCTTGCTCATCAGAGGTATCTCTTTCTATGGTATAACTGTTTGCGGTTGCGCAACCTTTGTGCAGTTTATAGTGCACAAAATTTAACTTACTTAACTGTTTCTTCTTAACTGGCTTCTGTTATGAAGAAGGCAGTTTAAAAGAAAATCTGCTTTCCTAGTAGGACTTTGTTAAATACCAAACCTCTGACTCCTGTATCCCCACCTTCATAGAAATTGTCACTGTTTCTCAGTTAACTTGATGAGATACGAGAGTAATAACATAAAAATTTACAAGTTATCTGCTACAACTTTGTTGGATAAAACTACTTTACCAACTTGTTGTCTTTGTGGATTAAACATAATCTGGTGCATTGTTCGAGGTGTATTCAAATTGGACCACACTTTACCAATATAAAATATAATAAGATATTCAACAATAAAAAAGAAAACAGGAAACTATAAAAAGCTTGCTTATTGTATACATAGATATAAAATTGAGCAGAAAAGGTTATAGGGCATAGCAGAAGTTGCACAGGCAATAAATTCAACACGTAAGACGAGTACTACAGTTGAAATTAATTAAAGAATGTCTGCTATAATATTAATGATTGCAATCATGTGGATATCAATTTCAACAGCCGGCCAAGAAATATTGCAAAGTGTTTGGACTAGAAAGCAGCTTGAATTTGTTTTATTGTAATTTGAGTTTGTTTTATCTTTTTGTCCTTTGTGAGTGTCTGAATGTGGTATTTGGAAAAATTGATTTTTGGATTATTGTGAGAGATTGTCTTTGTGGTTTGACAGCTCTGTTTTGTTTATAAAACAACTAAGATGGATTCATTTATGTTCTAATTCGTGTAAAATAGACTTAGTGAAGTCAAGTTTATGTTTTTGTCCTCGCACTGCTTTTCCCCACCTGCCTCCCGCATTTCATTAGCAACTTCTTGTCCCTACTTATAGCTGAACACTTTATTCCTTTGTTTAGCTGTAGTTCTAACACTAAAAGTTAGCTGTATTCATGGAGAAATCCTACTCTTTTGTTCTTTCGTTAGTCTTCGAACTCTATTTCTTAGTAGCATGCAGGGCCACTAACATAAGCACAGATCAATCAGCTCTTCTTGCCTTGAAAGCCAGCTTTGCTCTAAACTCTTCTCATCCCTTAACTCAAAATTGGTCTTCTCAAGCTTCAGTTTGTAATTGGATTGGAATCAGCTGTGGCTCTCGCCACCACAGGGTGACTGCACTAAATGTATCCAACATGAACATTCATGGTACCATTCCACCACAGTTGGGAAACCTCTCCTTTCTCGTTTCTCTCGATGTGAGCAAAAATAATTTCCACGGAGACTTTCCTCAAGATTTGTCTCGTCTACGTCGATTGAGGGCAATTGATCTCGGATACAATAATTTTAGCAGAGAAATTCCAATGTGGTTTGGTTTATTTTCTGAGCTTAAGATGTTAATTCTTGATAACAATGCTTTCACTCATATACCTCCTTCTATTTCTAACCTATCCAAGTTAGAAACTCTCAGTGCTGGATACAATCGTCTTCAAGGCAATATTCCCATAGAGATTGGCAATCTTCAAAATCTAAAAGAGTTGGTTTTAGTCAGTAACCAACTTACTGGCTTTATCCCCTTCTCCAATTTGAACATCTCTTCTTTGGAGACTTTAGCTCTCACATATAATCAATTATCAGGAAGTCTTCCTGTAGATATCTGCAGCCGTCTTCAAAGAATCAAAAGCATTTCAATAATTTCCAACCAATTGAGTGATCACATTCCATCAGGTTTATCTAATTGCTCAGAACTGTATGACTTGGCTTTGTCCTATAATAAGCTCAGCGGGACCATTCCACCGGAACTTGGAAAGTTGGAAATGCTTGAGTTATTAACCCTTGGGGGAAATAACTTAGAAGGTAAATTATCATTTTTCCTTAAGCATGCTTTGGCCAATAGCATAAGTAAACAAAAGGTCTGCTGCCATAAAGGTGTGCAGTGTTCTCTAATTCACAAATTAATTTGCAGGCATAATTCCAGAGACGATTGGAAATTTACGAAAATTGCAGAAATTGCAACTTGAGAACAACCACATAGTGGGTTCAATACCGCGCACCATATTCAACTTGTCATCACTATGGTTACTTAATTTCAACACCAACAATTTATCAGGTAATTTTCAAGCAAATCATTCTTGTTTGGTAATCCAGTATAGTCTTGCATATGGAAGTTGTTGATTATTGATATATGAAGTCCATAGTAGTTATATTCAACCTATAAATGTATATATCATTATCTACATATTGATGCAACGTTGATAAACTTGCGTAATTAGATAGCCTTAATCCAGATATACTCTTTCTGAATTGTTTCATGGAAGTTAGAACAAAATTAGAAAAAATAGCATTAACTTGGATCCTTTTTCTATGTATAATGTAGCAGGTGTTATACCTAGAGAGATTGGGAATCTTCAAAAATTGGAGTTGCTTTACTTGCAATTCAATAAATTAAGTGGTTCCTTACCGGAAGAGCTCTTCAATATTTCTACGCTAAGAGGGATGGCACTTTCTTACAATAACTTTTCGGGTAGTCTTCCATCTGCTTTAGGCTACTGGTCAACTACTCTACAGTATTTGCATCTTGGTGAAAACAACATTGGTGGAGTTATACCCAACTCAGTGTTCAATTCTTCAAATCTGAAGGAATTAATACTTAATGATAACAAATTCAGTGGGGCAATTCCTAACTCGTTAGGGGATTTGAGACAGCTTGAACGTTTGCGCTTGTTCCATAATAACTTAACATTTCCACAACTAAGTATCTTTGCTTCCTTGGCAAACTGCAGATCTTTGAGAGAGATAGATTTGTCAGATAATCCTCTTAATGGTGTTCTTTCAGATTCCATTGGCAATCTCTCCACTTCTCTTGAACTATTTGATTTACGTCATTCTGAAATTAGTGGCCAGTTACCACTAGGAATTGGGAGTTTAAGTAACTTAACCGATTTGTACCTATTCGACAATGACTTGACTGGATCAGTGCCAAGCACAATATGTGATTTACACAATCTTCAAAGGTTATACCTTCACCAGAATAGGTTAATTGGACCCTTGCCGGAGTGCCTCTGCACATTGCCAGTGTTGGGCGTTGTTTCTTTGTCATATAATCAAATTTCGGGTCCGATACCATATTGCATTGGCAATGTTACCTCTTTGAGAAACATTTATCTAAATTCAAATAGGCTCACTAAGATACCTATGAGTTTATGGAGCCTCAAAGATCTTGTAGAGCTTGACTTGTCGAATAATTCTTTGGTTGGTTCTTTACCTCCAGATTTCGGAAATTTGAATGCCATAACATTCTTAGATTTGTCAAGGAATCACCTTTCAGGAAGTTTTCCGAGCACAGTGGGGGACTTGCAGAAACTACTTTATCTTTCTGTGGCTTATAATGAGTTACAAGGATCTATTCCTGAGTCACTTGGAAAAATGTTAAGTTTGGAATCGGTGAATCTATCCAATAACTATCTTTCAGGTATGATTCCAAAATCATTAGAGGCACTTCAATATCTAAAGCATTTCAATGTATCATTCAATAGATTAGAAGGTAAAATCCCAAGTAAAGGACCATTTGTCAATTTCACCTCTCAATCTTTTATGGGAAATGAAAAGTTATGTGGTGGTTTCCTTTTCTTACCTTGTAAGGATAGGTCCGTTCATCAATCGCGGAGAAACAAAGTTCTTCTAATTGTACTTATCCCATTCGCAGTTTCATTGATGGTATTAGGTTCAATTGTTCTGTTCATGTTAAAGAGACGTGGGAATAGAAATATTCCAACTCAAGTCGAATCTTTACCTGCAACAACACCAACCAGGATTTCATATATTGAAATTGAAAGGGCAACTCAAGGGTTCGACCAATGCAACTTGCTAGGCCATGGAGGTTTTGGCTCTGTTTACAAGGGCATGTTTCCAAATGGGATGGTTTTAGCCATCAAAGTGTTTACCTTACAATCTGAAGTTGCATTTAAGAGTTTTGATCTTGAATGTGAAGTTTTGCGCAACCTTCGCCATAGAAATCTCACCAAAGTTATCAGCAGTTGTTCCAACATGGATTTTAGAGCATTACTACTAGAGTACATGCCCAATGGCAGCCTGGAGAAATGGTTGCAGTCTGATGATTACTTCTTGGACATAATCCAAAGATTAGACATAATGATTGATGTGGCATCTGCTTTGGAATATCTCCACCATGGTTGCTCTACAGTTGTTGTACATTGCGACTTGAAGCCTAGTAATGTCTTGCTAGACGAAAGGTTGGTTGGACATGTGAGTGACTTTGGCCTGGCAAAGTTATTGGGCGAAGGGGAATCTATTTTTCATACTAAAACACTTGCTACAATGGGTTACATTGCACCAGGTAACTTTCTTTTTGTCCTTTTATCAAATATTAAGTGCTTTAATAATTTTTTTCTGGTTCTAATTTAATCTATCGCAGATTTTGCATGGAAAATGGTATTGAAAACATCAAAATATAGCAATATCAAACCTATATTCATGCATATATAACAATTATAAAGGAAAAGAAACTTGCAGTTATAGTATATAGTTTCAGTTTAATTGCCTTACTCTTGATTCATTCCTATTGAACCTTCTTTGTTTTGCTTTATCTTTATCTACTCGAAGTAGTTTCAAGTATTTTTAATATAATCCCATCAGATATGATTTTTGCTTGTTTATTCGGCATGTCAAGAAACTAATTACTCTATTAATGTTTGTCTAGAGTATGGATCAGCAGGGTTAGTTTCTACAAGCTGTGATGTGTACAGCTATGGCATTATGCTTATGGAAACTTTCACAAGAAAAAATCCGTACGATGAAATGTTTCAAGAAAACTTGAGCATGAGGAGTTGGGTATGTAATTCACTACCTGTAGCACCAGAGGATATTATTGATGTCAGTTTATTGGAATCTGAAAAGAATGGTTTTAAGAAAAAGTTGCATTGTGTGTCTGCTATATTGGAGTTGGCACTGAATTGTACAGCAGAATCTCCAAATGAGAGGTGGAACATGAAAGATGTCCTGGCAAATATCAAGAAGATCAAACTTGCATTTCTTCGCGAATGTGATGGTACGTATCCAACTTTTGAACAATCTTATGAAGTAGTCGTAGAGAAATTATTTCCTTATCAATGAATAGAAATGATATTCCCTTGTCTATATACCATATATAAATTTATCGATTGGTTTTCTGTACTTGGTTCTTATACAAGTATTTTCCCTTGTTCAAGATGCTCCAAACATGCCATTCTTGCTCAACTCAAAGCAAAACAGAAGAGGATAATGGGAATAAGTTGGATTGATTCAGTTTTCTATTATATGGAGAGTCTCATATTTATTAAAGGCTTCGAGTTTGCAAAAGCCTATATCAATAAAAGGAGGAAAGAGAGACCAACTCTGTAGAAGAAATGACAAAATAAAGCTCGCCAACATATTGCTGAACCAAGGGGCGTAGCTGGGTGGGGGGGGG